CCTCTTCTTCCCACTTAGATAGGGAAATCTCAATTTATTTTAACTCTCTTGCCTTCAAGGTCCTGCACTCATCTGCCCTGGCCTTGGTTCTCCCTGTGCTGTCAGTTACAGGGATCTGCGTGTCCTTCACAGGCAGTACAGCACATCCCTGCTTAGGAATGCATGTTAGAGACTAGAGGTCCCGGGCCTCTCATCATCTAAGAAATTTTACCCTGGACTGCATGCCCAAGGGTATCAGTCCTATCATGCTTGCTGTCCTGTGCACCTTATCTATCTTGAACTAGGGCCATGAAGACCATTTGACTTCCATGGCCAGTGCTGGCTTTATCCCAACAATGCCACATTTTCAGGAGACTCTGACCCCCAGATCTTATTGTTCCTCTAGTCCTTTTGAAAGTCTCTCCACTTTTGGCAGGAAAGAATGGGTTCCAGGAAAATTTTCACCTTTCACTTTAGAACCATCCTATGTATTCTATACATAGAAGAACAGACCTCCTCTCTGCATAGACTAAGAGGAATTGGTGGTGAATGGGACAAAGCATGGGGATTAGAAGTTAAGTTCAGGAGCTTCCAGTTACAAGGACAGCTGAGAAATCCTAGTTAGCAGAGGATTAAGAAGCAAGTATAATGGGCTGTTATCGTACTGACTATGTTAAATTTGTTTCCTATTTTTTTCTGCTTTCTAAAAGTCCCCAGAGTTTCCTTCAAGGAGCTGCTGCTTCTCTATGCTTAGCCATGAGTGGGATTTTCTGTGTCCCTTTGCTCCAGGCCCAAAATAGCCTGCGCCAATCATGTGGCATTTCTCTGATGAATACAGCAATTGATGAGTACATGACCTAAACCAGTTTAATTACAGTGAAGCCCAGCATAATCTTTTGAAAGCTGGAGGAGAAAATCTCTATTTCTCTCATAGAGAAGAAGTATGCATGCCTAGGAGTTATTGGCAGTCATCTGCACCCATGAATGCAGGTAACCTTTGAACAAAGCTGGTACCATAGATGACAGGGTTGAGATGGAGAGGAACTAAGTCCTGGGGTGACATCGCTGAGCTCCTAGATCAAACTAAACCTAAAGGCCATTCTGCCCCTGGATTTTGCCACACGACATCAGCCAACAAATTCTATAACAAGTTAAGTAACTTTGGGTTTAAAAGTTTATAAATAGGCTGGGTGTGGTGGCTCACACCTATAATCCTAGCACTCTGGGAGGTAGAGGCAGGTAGATTGCCTAAACTCAGGAGTTTGAGACTAGCCTGAGCAAGAGTGAGACACCAACTCTAAAAATAGAAGTGTTGTGGCAGGCGCCTATAAGTCCCAGCTACTTGGGAGGCTGAGGCAAAAGGACCACTTGAGCCCAAGAGTTTGAGGTTACTGTGAGCTATGACACCACAACACTCTACTGAGTGTGACAAAGTGAGACTATCTCAAAAAAAAAAAAGTTTGTAAGTATATATCTATAAAATAAGTTCAATTTTCTGGTACTTATGGTACTTACTGCCTAAAAATATGAACCAACACACAATATCCTCCCCCACCCCCGCCCCATGCCAAAGTCTATGCAGAACTGCAGAGAGGATTTTCTACTCTGGAAGGATTTTTCCACAGTCTTCCAGCCCTGCACCCTCAGTAGGAATATACCTACTGATTTGAAAGGAGTAGATTTAGAACCCCTAAACTGACAGAGATTTATAGAATGGTTGGAAAGTGTGTAATAATTCTAAATCTTAGCAGCATACACCATATAATTTGAGCTACCTTTAAAATGGCCACATCTGATCTGCTTTGTTTAAAGTGTAGTTTGTTCACAAGCAAATAGAAAACATACTAGCTACGTTTACTTCTAAGATTAAATGTTAGGAATTGACAGAAGCTACTACCTACAACTGAACTATATACAGAAATTCGGGATTTCTTGGGTTTTTCCAATTTATGAGATGCAGGCAAAATGAGAGGGGGCAGGAAGATGATCAACACAGGAAAACAATGAGCATCATTCTGTTTTCCTGAAATCCAGAGAGGGGGTGGAAGGTAGGATGCCTGTGTCCTTCCAGTGAACTCCCTCCCACAGCCCTGAATTTGATCCCATTTGGGGTTTGTTCCACTTCCCTTGCATCACAGCCCTTGACAAGACTAACCCCATGAAAGGTCATATCTAGGCAGTCAGCCTTTGAGGAGAATGGTTCTGCCTCAGGCTGTGAGTCAGAGACTGGGCAGAACTGCAGGGCCCAGGCAGCTCCTTCACCCCTCCAGCCCCGGTCCCATCCCCTTCCCCGGTGCTCTCCACTAAGTTTTCCATTCTCTGCTTTGATCCACCAAATATCTACAGTTTATGTCCAGCCTCTTCTTTCAATTTTTTTCTTTAGTCTGTAAACATATTCGAGTCAATTCCATCATTTGAGAGAGCAAGAGGGGCTGGGAAAACAGGAAGATAGACAAGAATATACTGGGTCAAGTAGAGTCCAAAGAGATTCTTGTCTACCTGGAACCTCAGAGTGTTACCTTGTTTAGAAAGAGGATTTTGCCATCAGTTAAATTAAGATGAGGTCATCCTGGCCAAGTGTGGTGGCTCACACCTGTAATCCTAGCACTCTGGGAGGCTGAAGTGGGAGGATCCCTTAAGCTCAGGAGTTAGAGAACAGTCTGAGGAAGAGTGAGACCCCAACTCTACTAAAAATGGAAAAACTATCTGGGCGGAGTGGTGGGCACCTATAGTCCCAGCTACTCAGGAGGCTGAAGTAAGAAGATCTCTTGAAGGTGGCGCCAGCCTCATATACCAGAGGTGGCGGGTTCAAACCCAGCCCCAACCAAAAAAAAACAAAAAAGATTGCTTGAACCCAGGAGCTTAAGGTTGCTGATGCCACAGCACTCTACCTAGGGCAACAGAGTAAGACTACTACACCTCAGGAAAAAAAAAAAAAAAATGTGTGTGTATATATATATATATATATATATATGTGAGGTCATACTACATTAGGGTTGAGTCCTAATGTAATGACTAGTGTCCTTACAAGACAGGAAGACCACTTGAACCCAGGAGTCTGAGGTTGCTGATGCCACAGCATCTCAAAAAAAAAAAAAAAATATATATATATATATAAACATAGATATAGATACAGATATAGATAGCTATGTTGATATAGATATGAGGTCACACCACATTAGGGTTCAGTCCTAATGTAATGACCAGTGTCCTCACAAGAGGAAACAGAGACCCAGAGGAGACGCACAGGGAGAACACCAGGTGACAATGGAGGCAGATGCTGGAGGGACGTGTCTACAAGCCCGGGAATTCTGAAGATTCATCAGAGTTCAATCATCATCAAAAATGAGGAAGAGACAAGGAAGGATTGTCCCACAGGGCCTTCAGAAAGAGCATGGCCCTGGTGGCACCTTGATTTCCAACTTCCTAGCCTCCAGAGCTATGTGGATAAATTTCTATTATTTTACGCCATCCAGTTTGGGGTAATTTGTTACAAGAAATGAATACACATGCCATTTGGGGCTTCTTTTAATTTTTTTAACTCATCTGAATTTCCTAAATGTTCTACAATGAACATGGATCACTCAGACAACAAAATCTTAAAAATCCCGTGCCCTGCCTTGGTTCCACCTCACCCTGCTCCCTCCTTTCCTGCCCCGGTTTCTCAAAGGCTGTCTCAGTCACCATCTCCACTTGTTCTCCTACAAGCACGCCTCCCCTCCATTCGCTGCTGTCAGGCTTACACTCCACAAGCCTAAGAAACTGACCTCCTTGCTGATAATAATTCCTCCCCCCTTTTTTTTTTCAGGTTAATGTGGGGGTTCAAACAACCAGGTCACCATATTTGAATTTGTTAGGGAGAATCCCTCTTGTAATTGTGTCCCACACCCAAAAGGTGTGCCATACACGCCTAAATTGTGCCCATTAAGTGAGAACATACCCCAAACCCCCTCCTCTCCCAACTTGCATTGAAATGAGTGAGCACCTATTAGATCATCTACTGGCTTCATATTAGTATTGCGTACATTGGATACTTGCTTTACTATTCTTGTGATACTTTACTAAGAAGAATGTGTTTCATTTCCATCCAGGTTAATATAAAAGGTATAAAGTCTCCATCTTTTTTTTTTTAACTTTGTGAATTTGTTTTTATTGAGGTATGGGGCACAGGGTGGGAAATGTCACTGTGGGGTGTGGGATGCCCTCCCTCACAGGGAATGTCCTTTCTAATCTTCCTGGGGAGTTTGTGGAACTTTTTCTTCTTGGAGCTGTTCTTGGTTCCTGCAGCCTCTTCCAGCCCACTGCTACCTCCTCCTTAAAGGAGAATTTCCTCTTTTTCTTAGATAGACTCTTGTCTCCTACCTCTTCAGGATCACTGATTACTGTCTCCTCCTTGGGTGAAGCTTTCTTCTTCCTAGGAGGACTTACAATGCCTCAAGACTACTAGTACCCAACAACTCCTCCTTGGAAAAAGATTTCTTTTTCTTGTATTTAGAGACAGGGATCAATGGCTGGTCTTCCATTCCATTCTCCTGAGGAACCTCCTGGGGCTTTTGCTGTTGCTTCTTTCTGGGTTTTTCCACTGTATCCTCACACTCCTCCTGAGCACTACTGCTATTTTCTGAAGAAGTGAAGGCAAGTGCAGCCCGTCATTTCTTTTCCTTCTTCAAGTGTTTCTGCTCCTATTTCTCCAGTTTCCTAGTGATCTCAGCAGCTGCTTCCTCTGCCTGAATCATTGTTTTTTCTTTGTAACATCCAGATTCTTTCATAGAATCTCTTCAGTCTCATAGAAGGGCAGCCCCTCCTCAACTTGTTCCCAAAGCTTCTCCCCAGATATGCTCGTGGGCACCTCAGAAAAGCAATCGATTCATGAGGCAATACTGCATTTGTTTGCCAGGTATCTGGAGATTTGGCCTTTGGTCTTGGTAGCAGCTCAGCCAACGAAGGTGGAAAATGAGTCCATATTTTTGTGTGTTACCCCTTGTCTTCAGGGAAACTTGGTCCCTCTGCTGGGCCCTGGGAGTCACTCAGACACTAGGACTGGCCATCACCCCTGTAGCACAGGGCTGTATAGGTCAGAAGTCTCCATCTTTTTATGGCCGAATAATATTCCCTGGCATTCATATACCACAGCTTGTTAATCCATTCCTGAGTTGATGGGCATTTAGGTTGTTTCCACCACTTGGTGATTATAAATTGAGCTGTGATGAACAATTTAGTGCAAATTGTCTTTATGATATACTGATTTTTTTCTTCCGGGTAGATGCCTAGTAGTGGGATTGCAAGGTCAAACAGGAGGTCTAATTTGAGTCTTTGGAGGATTCTCCCTACTTCTTTCCAAAGAGGCTGTATTAGTTTGAAGTCCTACCAATAGTGTAAAAGTGTTCCCGTCTCTCCACATTCCACCAGCATCTGCACCTTTGGGACTTTGTGATGTGGGCTAATCTTACTGGGGTTAGGTGATATCTCAGGGTGGTTTTGATTTGCATTTCTCTGATGATTAGGGACAATGAGAATTTTTTCACACATTTGTTAGCCATTCATCTGTCTTCCTATTCATGTCCCTCGCCAACCACAAATGGGATTGTTTGCTCTTTTTTGTTGTTGATTAATTTGAGTTCTCTACAGATCCTGGTTATCTTGCCTTTATCAGATTCATAACATGCAAATATCTTTTCCCATTCTGAAAGTTGTCTGTTTTGATTGTTGGGTCCTTAGCTATGCAAAAGCTTTTCGGTTTAATTAAGTCCCATTTCTTCATTTTTGTCATTATGGCAATTGCCACTGAAGTCTTCTTCATAAAATCTTTCCCTAGGCCTACATCCTCAAGAGTTCTTCCCATACTTTCTTCTAGGATTTTTATGGTTTCATTCCTTAGATTTAAACCTTTTATCCATTTTGAATCAATTTTTGTAAGTGGTGAAAAGTGCAGCTCCAGTTGCAGTCCTTTACATGTGGTTATTCAGTTCTCCCAGCACCATTTATCGATTAAGGACTCTTTTCCCCAGTGTAAGCTTTGGTATAGTTTATTAAAGACCAGATTTCAACTAGAGACTGGTTTTATCTCTTGGTTTTCTATTCAGTTCCACATGTCTATGTCTCTATTTTTCTGCCAATACCATGCTGTTTTGATCACTGTGGACTTATAATGTAGCCTAGTATCTGGTAGAGTCATGCCTCTGGTGTTGTTTTTATTACTAAAAATTGCCTTGGCTCTACAGGGTTTTTTCTGGTGAGACCAATTAAGGTTTGTTTCATAAATCTGGGAGCATTTATGCTGGGTGTATAAATATTGAGAATTGAAACGTCCTCTTGTTGTATTGTTCCTTTGACCAGAATGAAGTGACCTAAATCCCCAACTTTTAACCTTCCCTATTTGACTGCCCCTGCCACAGTCAAATACTATTGTCTTCTTAAAATCCTCCCCTCCTAACAATGCACATCATGGAGTACTGACAGCAATTAAAAACTGTGGGTTAAGTCAGAGCAAGAGCAAGTCCTCCTCTGAAAAAAAAAGAAAGAAAGAAAGATTAGCCAAGTATGGTAGCACTCACCTGTAGGCCCTACTACTTGGGAGGCTGAGGCAGAAGCATCACTTGAGCCCAGAAGTTTGAAGTTGCAGTGAGCTGTGACCTCTCACCATTGCACCCTAGCCTGGGCAACAAAGCGAGACCCTTCTCAAAAAATAATAACAATAATAAAATAAAAAATTAAAGACAAGGCAAGTGAAGAAAATGTTTCATGGGAAAATAGAAGCCAGGCTTGAGTTGTCTCTAAGCAACTGGGTCAGCAGGCAGCTCCTTCTGAAGTCTAGCTAAGCTCTGAGAATCTGCAGTGAAACCTTCCAGAAGACACTGCTGTTAGCTCTGGGCAGACCTCAGCATTTCCTCCTGACTATGATGCAAATAGTCACCACTGGGTTACCATCACTAGATCTATTTTATGTTTCTTGTATCTGCAGCAAGTTAGGCCCTTCTGAGGATTTAAGCACTCAGATCCCAGAAGGTTTTGCTCCTGGCTCAAGCAACAGGCCCCATGAGGGTGAGCTATCAGAAGTCAGGCATTCCTCAGCTCACACATCTGGGAAAACAGCCCAGTGGCAAATTGTATTCTGGCATGTATTTCCCCATTCTCCAAAGGTGGGAGTTAAACAATCTCTTGAACTGAGCTCTAGAAGAAAGGAAACGTCCAGTTCTGATAGCCCCTAGCATCTTTGCTAGTGAATGATGCAAAAGATAAGGTCAAATGTTCTGCCGTCTCTTTTGAGCCCTGGCTTGACTCCAGAAAAAGGAACACTGGAAGCATTGGAAACGAACCTCCAGTGGATTTTATTTACTTTTGCCATGTTGGTGGTTCTGACATGTCACTGAGATCCACAATCCTGGAAAGGGCCTCTGAGTTAATTTAATCCAAACCTATCACTTTGTAGAAAACTAAACACTAGAGAGAGGCCACGATGATTCAGGGGCAGAACTAGGTAGTCTCAGTTCCATTATCTTTGTACCACATCATATTACCTTGGTTTACAGCCTTATTTTATTAGGACTGGACCCTACTGAAGATCTTCCTGGATCAGAGGATGTCCTTTGCATTGATGTTTTTAAGACAACCAGAAAGACCCACCCAGTCTTAAGCGTACAACTCCTAAGAAATAAAATCAGAGCTGATGGGGAACGAAGAAGATGGAAGAGTGTCGAAATGTTTTATTTCCTTCCGCTGGTCACTTTAAATGAAAACAACAAGCCAAATTCCTTTGCTGAAAAGGAAGTGTATTACATTAAAAGTAAACAGGCAATATAAAAGGACAGTGTTCTTCAACCTTTAGTGGTTGAACTCCTTTCTAGGAGTTAACTGCTTATGTATCCTTGTAAAAATCTTAAAAATTATTATGCCATTTTGCATGGATAAAATGATAGTTTGTATTAGTAAACTAATTATCATCTTTTTTAAAAGGTGTAGAACTCTGTATAAATTATTAGCCAGGTATGATGGCATATGCTTGTATTCCCAGGCACGTGAGAGGTTTGAGATAGGAAGATCTCCTTGAGCCCAGGAGTTCAAGGCTCCAGTAAGCTAGGATAATGCCACTGCACTCTAGCCCTGGCAACAGAGTGAGATCATGTCTTTAAAACCAAAAAAGAAAGAAAGAACACAAAATTCAGTAGATTTATCTGGAATACTTTATGATTAAGACAAGAAAAATTGGAAGATTGTAGTTTCTCATCTCCAGGAATTTGAGGTGGGAAAAGTCTTAACAAATTGCAAGGACATTATTTTAATATAACTTCTGGCAACCGATATTTACAATCGTGAAAGTGTTTCTACTCACCTCATTTTTGAACTTAAGAAACAATCAATGAACATAAACCTTTGAAATCAAAATGCCATTTAAGTTTTGTTTACACAGGTAGGCCTTGAGTTTCCAGAAGAATAAATCCTGAATCAACAGGTCTGCTTAAGAAAAAAACAGGGTGGGACATAATTACAAGAGGGACTTTATCCAACAAATGCAATCAGTGTAGCCTAATTCTTTGTACCCTCAATGAATCCCAAACAGTAAAAAAATACTACTAATAAAAATGTCCCAGAACCACAACAAAAGAAAAAGACAATGCCTTTTTTCCTACCTAAAAAGTTGACTCCTAGATGGCTCCCATGGCTTAAATCCTGGTAGTACACTGATTTCAGCAATCTGGAAGCTTCCTCTCACCTTTCCTTTATGTAACTCTTCTATGATTTTCCTTCTAGTTTTGCAATTTGGTTTAAAACACAAAATCAAAACCAAAAATATGCACGCACACACACACTTTCTGCTCTCCCAGGGACCTCTTAATAATCTGATTTATTTTCAAGGAGATTGGCACCTGTTCGGGAATTTTTTCTCTAGTGCTTGGTCGTCCAGGAATGCCAAGCACTTCCTCATAGATTAAACTAGACAGGCGGGTTATCCTGACAGCAAGAAGCAGCTCAGGGCCACCATGAGACTGCCAAGAAAAACAGCACCCTTATCTTCCAGCTCTGCTCCCAGGAACTATGTGAGATTTGTAATCTGACTAGAATCCAGATATCTAGCCTAGGGCATACCATTCGTAGCTCCAGGCCAGGCACCTATGATCTAATCTGGGAATGAACTGCTAGGCAAGTTAAAAACCCACCAACCTAGGCGGGGCCTGTGACTCAGTGGATAGGGTGCCAGACCCATATACCAAGGGTAGAGGGTTCAAGCCTCACCCCTGCCAAACTGCAACAAATAGCTGGGCATTGTAGCAGGCGCCTGTAGTCCCAGCTACTCAGGAGGCTGAGGCAAGAGAATGGCCTAAGCCCAGGAGTTGGAGGTTGCTGTGATACCATGGCACTCTACCGAGGGTGATAAAGTGAGACCTTGTCTCTTAAAAAAAAAAAAGAAGAAGAAGAAGACTTAAAAACCCAACCCAAGCTAAGCTAACCAGAAGCTGTCCCTAAACTGAGCCAGCCATCACTCTTCCGCCAATGACCTACCCGATTAGCTTCTGATAAAATGAATAAAAGAGGTTCAGCTGGCTTATAACTCCACTCTTTTAAATACACTCCCAAATATCCCATTGGCAATACTTAGTAATGTTAATTGGGTGATATTGTATTATAGTATTAAATTTATTGCCTAGGATTATTTGATGTTAAAAAAAAATCTTGATTTTCTACATCTGGACTAGATGGATCAGAAATTTAACCCTGGCCAGGTGTGGTGGCTCACACCTGTAATCCCAGCCCTTTGGGAAGCCAAGGCAGGAGGATAATTTTAGGCCAGGAATTTAAAATCAGCCTGGGCAAACAGTGCGACCTGATCTCTACAAAAAAATAAAAAAGGTAAATGTTCTTTTTTTTTTTAGAGGCAGAGTCTCACTTTGTTGCCCTCAGTAGACTGCTCTGGCATCACAGTTCACAGCAACCTCCAGCTCTTGGGCTTAGGTGATTCTCTTGCCTCAACCTCCCAAGTAGCTGGGACTATAGGCTCCCACCACAATGCCTGGCTATTTTTTGTTGCAGTTTGGCCAGGGCCAGGTTTGAACCCACCACCCTCGGTATATGGGGCCGGCGCTCTATTCACTGAGCCACAGGCGCCAGTCCCC